AAACTGAAAAAAGACTGTGAGATTGAAAAAAAGGACATTCGGTCATTAAACCTTGAACGTCCAAGCGCTGCACCGCAACTGGACCTAGTCAGCACGATGGTTGCGATACAAATCTAGAACGCACAGGGGAAGCGAAACACAAAAAGGATAAAAATGAAAGGAAGAAAGAGCCGGATACCATGAACGGCAAAGAAATAAACGGGGAAGGACAGAAACATGCGATTAAAAGAGAATTTTATGCCCATTTAGTAGAATCTTGCGTTTTACGCCTACCTGGCGATAGCTCATATTTTCCGTTAAGTGGAAGGCTAGAAAATGAAGTCAAAATTTCTTCAAGAAATTAAATTCATACTTATATTTCTAACACAGAAATTAAAAAAGTTTAATGTTACGATTAAATTTTTGCAAGCGAATCGTAAATTTGATGCAGTTTTCAGGTTTTGATGGCTCCCCTATGCTCTCCAGCAACAACAAAAAATTTACACCGATAACTCCAATAATCTGATTTAATCTCGTCCGTAATAAATCTTGAAATTCAAATTTGGGCACAAAAGAAGTTAAAGCAAACTTTTTGACACAGTCTGAGCTCGCTTCTGTCGGCCAATCCACGTTGGCGATGCTCCACAAAAGTGAACTGATTGTTGAAGAATCCAGCAGCATCCAGCACCGTGAACGAAGCCAGTGCTCCATCATCATCACATCGTACACCTACGGATGGTAAGCGGCGAATTTTTGCCGCAAACTGATCCCGATCTCCAGGTACCGAGAATTTCCAGCTTCTCGCTATTGTGTCGGCATCCTTCTAAAACAATTATTTCTTTCAAACAACAGTACAGTGTCCAAAACTCCGTCAGATGGCACGAATTCTTGGAGTGTCACAGATCATCGGTAAGTAAGTAAATAGCAGTAGATGTCCACAACAGCACAATGCTAATTGTCCACTATAGCACTGCTTCAGCTGCCCACCACAGCACGATGTTTGCTGTCCACTTTTCTTTGACGTTAGCTGACCATTGCTGCATGATTTTAGCTGTCCACTACTGCACGGCGATTTTAGCTGTCCACCACTGCTTATTACTGCAAAATATTAGCTGTCCACTACCACACGATGTCAGCTGTCCATTACTGAATAGCTTTAGCTGTCCGCGATTGTGCGATGTTACTACCCATTACCGCACGATGTAGGCTGCCTACTAGCTCATCATCGTCTGAGCAAAGAGAATCATCGCATTTTCCGGCGTGCTTCATCAAAGGAGAATAACTGGTCAACGCACGGGCTGCCGTGCGAAGATGCGTTTTTTGCATAGTACCCCGCAGTTTTTGTTGCCACCGGCACCGGCTTTTTTGGCAAATGCTTCTAACTAAACAAATTAAGACTGGCCGCCAGAACTGTCAGGAAATATCCCCTTAAAATTTCAGCTTTCTAG